AGCACCGGACTTGTGTGCTTTTCACTGCTGCAATTTTTCATGCAAGAATTTGTCGTGGCTAATGTCATGAGTTTACTGAAATTTGGAACTTATTTGACTGCAGCAACGCTTCAAATATTCTTGCTGTCTTATTTCTGTCAGAAATTGAAGACATCGAGTGAGAATATTGAGAAGAAAATTTACAGTAGCAATTGGTATGAAGGAGATAGAAAGTTCTTCAAAGACATGCAAATGGTTCTGTTGAAATCTCAGCAACCTGTTGAATTGACTGCACTCAACTTCTTTGGCATTGACTTGACAATTTTCACGAATGTGAGTTGAATTATTTATTATTGCTGTTCTGTGCTGTCATTGATTAATAAATTGTGTTTTTTCACACAGGTTTTGTCAACTGCTTATTCTTACTTTTCATTTTTAAAGTCATACTTGTAAATAGAGTGATAAATGAAAGATTTAGCTAGATGATGTTATAATAATCCTTAGAATTACAAGTTCATACTTCTCATAGTTTCATGCATATCCACATATTGTTGTAATCTGTAACAAATCCAGCTTAATAGAATTATTTTTCAGCTGTGATAAATAAAGAATTAATTTAATGTTCATTTCAATTCTTTTCAAGCGGATTTAGTCGAGAAACATTCAAAAATATCGAATTTCTGTGAAGTGTGAAAAATTGCGATGATTTGATAAAATTGAATGTTTATGTTGAATCTGTTATTTTTTTTACTAGACGGTTTTGACAAATGTAATAAAATCTGCTGAAAAAGTTTTGTGAAATTTTAATAACTTTTAAAATCCAATTTCAAGCTTGTATCATGGAGTGCATTAAAAAGTTGTTAAATTAAGTCTTTTGTTGCATTATGATGCACGTTGATGATAATAGTAGATAATGATACGGATGATGAAACTTGTTAGTCAATTATTTTCTCATTTTCATTAAAAACAGTTTCAATTAAGTTCCTGTTGATGATATTTACCTGTATTTTAGTAGTTTACAACAAAAATATTCAGTGTTCAATATCCCAAAAGCATTAAACTTGATTCTAAACTACAAAAATATTCAGCGTTCAATGTCCAAAAAGCCTGAAACTTGATTCTAAACTACAAAAATATTCAGCGTTCAATGTCCAAAGAGCATGATTTAGCGGAATTCAACCATTTGTCATGCAAAAAATTGCAGATCCAAAACGACCACATCACATAATAATCCTTTAAACTCAAACAAAAACAAGAACAATGAGATGAAAAAAAATATCCAAATGCACAATAAAAGGATGGAAATGAAAAAAGTTTGGTTTGAATAAAAAAAATGCTTTTAAAGCATTACATTTGAAATTTTTCTCATAGCTACATGAACATGGATTTTTCGTGGCAGCAAAAGAGAAAAAATCCACCCTGAAATCCACTTAATTTAAACACAACAGAAATCACGTAGAAAGCACTTTACTGTTCACATTCACATACTTAGAGTAGAGAAATCCGAAAGCTTTATTTTTATCATGAAGAGGTTTGAAAATATTTGAAGGAAATTTTGTGGATTTTTTCTATTAAATGTTGAAGGATGTAGAATGCATTTTAAGTGAATTCTTTTTACATTTGCATTTTTTGACTAACGTGACATTGTCAAGTCGGGAACCAAGGAATTCGTGGTCAATGGATCAGTTTTAGAGCTGTTTTAGGATCAATAGCTGGGTTTAATGCAGTCTTGAACCACAAAATTATTTTAAATATGCTAGCTGTGACTTTCTTACCCTAGGAATTAAATCAAATGTCCTTCAATGTTCAGTAAAATTAAAATAAATCTAAGACTAAGATCAACTATACTAGGTTCCCTAAAAACCAGCCTCATAAGCCCTGTAAAAGTCAGACAACACTACAACCATTTAAAATGTTAAAATCAGTTAAAAAATCTATCCTAATTCATAATGTCTGATTGCCTTTAACCTTATCATCTTAAATTTATCCAATAAATTTTCAGCCAACTTTTTAATCACTTTTAAGAACTTTTTCCAATGCAAGAAAAATCAGATAAAATTAATTATATTAATGGTCGTTGCGTGATGCAAATTTTTAAATACAGATAATTTATTTTGCAGCATAAACAAGCCATCTAGCAAATAAGCCAGAGAATGAAAAAGTTTAAAACTTCATTTATTAAAAAATAAACATTCAATTAATTTTATTTAAATCCATAATGATGATAGGATAATGAAATTGAGTCACGACTGGCACGAGCATGTTGTTTTATCAGTGCTGCAACTTCCATTCGCATAACCTGAAGCTCTACAGAATAAAGTACACGGCATATCATTCTGAAAGAATTCACATGCAATGCGCTCCATTACAGGCACAAATTCCTGAATAGCTGAAATAGATAAGTAAGGATGGAATGACTACTTTATAGGTGGGGTTTTGGTCAGTTATGATGGATGGAATGTTTTATGAATTAATTCAATCTTCATGTTGGATGGATTATCATGGAATGTTTGTCAATGAAGTTGCATTGTGGGTAGATTATGTAGGTAGAATTTAAATCTCAGGACTAAGAGTTGTGTTATTGATTTAATGGCTGTGCTTTGATTTGAAGTTTAAACTTGATACATTTAAGACTAGCTTTGGACTTAATCGTCGAGACAACAGATAAAATGTAATTAATTTTTCATTATTCTTTCCCACGTAATCAAATTGAAAGAAAAAAAGTGCAAGAGGAAGTTCCACCTAAACACACAAAAGATATTAAAAAGTAGATCAAAATTAAATACAAACTTTTTCCTCCATTAATTGAATTGCCAGAAGCTGGTGTGAATGAAATGATTAGTAAATTGAAGATAATTAATTTCAAAAAGTGCATCTTTTTATCGTTCAACAGATGTTCAACTTCAATGAAATGGTGTCGATTCAAACGAGAAACTTTATTGACTGATACAAAGTTTTGCTACATATTTCAGCTTTATATACTTTTTGCATGAGACCTGCTCATTTAGCATTGGGTATGAATTGCATGGAAAATTTCAAAATATTATCAAATGGGTTTTATTTGAAAGGGATTGGACGTTTCAGGCTTTTGTGGTAATTTGTATCGAATCTGCTTCTTGAATCGAACTTTACATAATTGAAATTTCAAAAAGAATTGATTTTGTGATTAGAATCGTAGCTAAAGATTTGGTTAATGAGAGTCGGAATATATGTAAGAAGCCATTCATTGAAGGCGGTGCTAAAGTCCTGCTACGAACAAAATTGTGTCAAATATACCAAGTTTAGATACAACTTTCGACTTTCGCTTCCCTAGAACACATTTCACCACCTTAATGTAGCTTTAAAGTTAAATAAACTTTAAGAAAATTGAATACAAAGCTGCCAACAAGTGTCTTATTAACTCTTTATTGTTCAAAGTAAAATAAGTTATTGCTTTTGTTACCCAACGAGTGACTAACTCTATGAATGCAACAAATTTTCAAGGACGTCAAGAAGTTGTACTTTAACAATGGATGTTGTAAGTTACTGTAGATTCTAATCAGGTGAAGTAGTTATGATGCAAGAAAGCTCTAGTTCTTAGTTTCCTTGGTAAGTAGAGACGAAGATATCAGAGCTTGAATTTGACAGTAATTGTGTATTGAAGTCGAGTCGACTTTTTGCTCTAGAAACAAGGTTCAGCTGCTGAAAGCCAATGTCTTAAGAAATTCATTTATCTCATTAGGTCCGTCCGCACAACGAAGTAAGAAAGGAGGCAAAATAAAATTTTACTGTATGATTCGTTCAATAAATTCTTCAATTGTTTATTTTTAAAGATTTTTTTCAATAATTTTTCCAGCTTATTTAATGTTTTTTTTTTGTCACAATTAAATTTCTAATCAGCTACAATTTTTCATATTTTCGTCATATATATAAATGTATAATTTTGAAGAGTTTCCATTTTTTGTCATTTTTAAATAAATGTAAAAGATGAAAGAAATGTTGATGTCGTTAGTACTTAAGCAGTAAAAAAGTTTTAATGTATAATGCAAGATTCTAGATTCCTTAACATAACTAATTGGTTTTTGATTGCAGATTTCTCATAATTGTTTTGATAAATTAATACTTTGTCATATTGATTTGATATATATTTAGGCTCATCATGATGCTTAGTGATTGATGTGGATTTTGACTAACCTAAATTGATCACCAAGCATTAAGTGGGGTTTTCTTACTTAAGGATTGTTTCAAAAATGAGATCTATTAAGAATTGGAAATAATAGTCATCAAAATGATTTAATTCCAGGAGCGTCGAGGACGAAGAACTGAACTTCTGAACTTCGGCCTGCTTACTCAACCCTATGTACCTTATACAGTTCCACATTATAAATCGTGTGTTTTATAAAGAGGTTTGAGTGATGAAAATTCTAATTCTTAACACACATCATTTTCAAACAACCCCCAAACTTAATTTGAATAAAACAAAGAAAAAAAAATTAAAAACTTTCAGAAGACATCCAACATAAAATACATAGATAATTGGAAGTAGAAAATATAAATAAATTCTAAGAAAGTGCATCGAATGATTATTATGCGACGTGCAGATTGATTTTTTTCATAATGATTTTGCTTTCTTATATTACACGATGAAAACTTTCTCCAACAATCATGACCATCAGAATGGATTTTTGCGAATAGTCGATGTGAATTTCAGCATATAAAATTGTTTATTGTATGACAGAGATGAACAAGAATTTTTGGAGAAGATTCCATCGTCAGGAATTTAATTGATTAAAAATTTTCTATTCGATAATTTACTTAATTAATTTTTTTATCATCTAGATTGAGAGTTCGTGATGATTGATGCAGAGGAACTGAAGATTACTTGATTATTAGTGTCTTTGGAACCTGAACTTGAGTCCTTCAATTGTGCAGCATCTCCATCTCCTTCATCCCAATCACCCATCCAACCCTCAATCCTCATCTCTTTAGGAATTTTTTTATATTAATCTTTTTTTAAAAGTCCATAAAAATATTAAATTAATTTAAATATTATCAGCCGGACTCTGGAATTCTGACAGTGCATGTACTGGATTTTGTGTCTTTTTCTGTGATGCTCGTCGTACTTTTGCACGTACTTCTTCGGGTTTTTCAGGTCGTACGAGTGGTTTCTTCTCTGGAGCCTTCATCTTCCATACGACGATTGGTGACTGTGGATGAAAATCAACAATAAATGCCATAGAACTCTCATAAAAATCTGGAGCTAATAGCTTGATATACCCTTAAGTCCACCAAGCTATTCGAGAACCAGACTTTGTCGTTATAAACTTACAGATACAGTTCCTTGTCGAGTATATTTCGTAGATGCAACATATGAATATTTGACAGTATAAACGACAGCATTCATTAAATTTTTGGCAGCCTGAATTAATGAAGTTGCACTATCCAACTGCGAAAAAAAAGACATCCATTAATTTCAATCAATTAAGCCATAAATTACCCATTCCAATCTCTTACCCCAGATACAATCAATTCGCCAGATATGTTTTGTACGTCTGCCTTAACTTTTGATGTAATCTGAATTTGATGGCAATAAAGTGCAATTCTCTGTAAATAGGCCAATAAATCTTTCTTTGTCGATGATTCTGGACACTGCTCAGCAATTTCTCTCGTCAATTTATCCAATTTCGTACCAGCTTCCGAGATTTTCTTTGCCGCATTAATAACATCCATAGTCGTCTTTAATGGTCCGCGTCCGCGCGTGAAATCTGTCATTTCCATCATTATCATACACATGTGCTTGGCAAGATAAATGATATCGTTGCCCGTGTCGTCCCATTTTGCGACTTCTGAGTCAAATGTCAATTTTTCACGACGGAAAAGCTCGACTTGTTGCATAATCTTTTGCTTGTCTTCTTCATTCATTTTACGCATTGCTTCCTATTATTTTTATCGAGTATTATGAGTACGATAATTCGTGGAAGGAGAATAGAGCATGAAATAAGAGAGACAATTGGAAATGATTTATTGTTATTGATGGTCGATCTGCTGAATATTTCTATATTGATATCAACTTACCCTTGCTGTCGTTATTCCACTAATGTCAGGATACTCATCGATACCAGTATCTCCAGTATGAGCAGATGCTGAATAAATTAGAATGGGAAAGATGTATGTTATGTTCAAGTGATTTGAAGTCTTTTTGATTTAAAATGATTTGTGCACAAGAGTCTAATAGTTTGAGATGCGGTGGATATTGAGAAATAAATTAATTTTTTAAAGGATTTAAAAAAAAACGGATTTTTAAATTCAAATTTCAAATTCAAATCCTAAAAATCCGTAAAAATTCAAACTTAAAAACTAGAATCCAATAGCAATAGTTCCTCAATATCCACAATAAATAAAAAACTAAGAACTACAAAACTATCTTCTAAAAAACCAAAACAAAATTTCTTACAGCGACTACGAGTTTCAATTGTCATATCTTCAACTGGTTCAAATTCTGTGTCTGTATCCAACTCTTCCGAGCTCTAAAATCGTCACACATTCACAAAATAGCATCAACACAATGTAATAAACATAAAAAAGAACAAAAAAAGTGTTTCCAAAAAAAAAAAAATTGATAAATAATAAAGCTCAAGAATAATGTACAGTAAATCATGTCAATAGCTAGAAAGAAGCTATAAACTGTGGGGCGTAAAATAAAAACTGAGCATCTCACAACAACAAATAAAATAAATAAATGTGCACATATGTTGGCTATATAAAAAGTAATATCCTCATTGCTTACACTTGCTCCTCGTCTCTAGCGTATATTGTTCATCCTCAATGTCTTCTGGATCTAACTCTTCTTCGTTCTATTATTTGATTTATGTGAGAGGATGTTTATCATAGATTTTAAAATTTGTTGTTGTGCAGCAGTAAGAAAATGGATTTTTAAGGGAGTTAAGACGTGAATATGTAGTTTTGTGAAAGATCTAATGCTTATATCTTATGTCCAGGACCCCAACCTCCCACATCTGAACTATATTCAAGAACATTTAGGTTCGATTCTCAATATATCACAATAAGGTCCACTGACAGACAGTTTCAGATACCCAGAAACCATCCCTGACGTCCATTGATGACAATATAAATCATTTGGACGGACAATAAAATTTCCAAGCATTCAGAACGTTTCACATTAAACTCTTCTTACCCTCCTGAGAAATTAATATCAATAAATCAAGACATAAAAGAATTCTACTTACGCGATTCATCAACACAGCACGTCTAATTTCACGTACGCCATCGTAAACTAATCGTGATGCATCAATAAAGTCATTTTCATCAACGTCTTTCGGTGAGTTGCTTGCCAAAGCATTTACGGCAACATCAACACGTTGTGCAAACTTTGACATAACTTGATCGCGTAAAACTTTTACAGCTTCCATAACACGTTTTGTATAAATGCATGGCTCATAATTGTCCATTTCTGCTTCGACAACATGACAGACACGAGCAGAACGTCCTTGTATAGCACCAGCAGTATTACGTAGATCTAATGCATCGCCTTCTTGAAGTGCTAATACACATTTATTGACATCTTCAAGGATGTGATTCTCAGACACGGCTAAGAAATCATCAATTGTTGTAATATCATCGACAGCTTCTGTAAGAATGCGAACTTGATTTTCCCATGCTAAACGATATGAATCCATATTTTCTTGTGCGACTTTTGAGTTTGGTCTTGCTGCAAGAATGAGAGCTGCATTGATGACTTGTGGACATAAAGTTTCAATTTGTCCAGCTGCATATCTGACCATTTTAACGCCATCTTCATTATTTGACATGCTGCAGACGAGATTTGCAACTTCAACTAACTTTTCAGCGTGCTTTGTGAAAACCTCTGCACGTTCGTGGACTTTCTTCTCTTGACCAGAGCGTGCAGCTTCGATAAGATCCAATAGTGGCATATTTGTCTCCAAGAATGAATCCGAAACATGATCAACAACAGCTTTTCTTAATTGACGTCGTAAATCTTTTGTCTTTTTATACATTTGACCAATAGCACGTTCCAATTCTGGTGTACGATCCTTAGTTCCCATATTTGACATATATTCCGTTAACAAATCTTGTAATGCTTGACGTACAGCATTACATTCAGCAACAATTCGTTCACGTCTTTCATCTCTGGTACAATCAGCATCAGCCATAAGAGCAGCTGCACTAATAATGCTTTCTAAACGTTCTTCTAATGATGGTCTTGAACGTACTTCATTGTAGACTAATGGATCCATAATAATTCCTTCATCAAAGTCATCTAAAGCAGCTGCCAATTCACCAGCACCATTGTATGTATCTTGTGGAACTGATGCTTTTCCTTGTGCTACATCGCTGATTGTATTGACTGCCTCGCAGACCTGCTTCAAGACATAATCACGATTGATCTTTGCCAAGTCCAATTCTGGATGACGAACATAGACTTTTGATGCAGTAAGCAACATAGTTGAGTGTTTCTTAAGTATAGCACGAGCAGCTGCCAAATCATCACGTAATTGTGGATCTTTTAATTCTTGTTGACGCTTAGCTGCTTGCTTAATGAGCTCATTTGCATTCCTACCAAACTGACGCATATTACTCATTAATTCATCTTGGCTTGAAGCATCACGCAATTTATCCAAATCATCTTCAACGACATGCAATGACTTGAGCAGTAAATGAACATCAACCATGTCGGCAAGAATAAGAAGTCGAGTAACGGCTGAAAGTAAATTTCTAGCTGCACGAACCATATTTCCTCTCTTTAAAGAGCTGCATGGATCTTCAGCAAACTCACGAGCAGCAACAGACATTGAAAGTCCAGTCTTTCGAACTTCTTCGACTGCTGTAAGCATTTCCTGTGTTATGTCCGGATTCTCATATGCAATTTGTTCTCCACGTTCAATAAAATTCTCTGTTGCCTTTTCAACAGCAGCAACAAGAGCTGATGCACGCTTTGATTTACCTAAAAAGTGAATGTCACGTACAAGAGTAATTTACACAGTCACAATAGCAACAAATAATTCAAATGTGACGACGATGAGTCATCGTTTGGAATGCGAAATGGAAATGAAAAGAAAAAAGAAAAAGAATCCTATAAGAAATTCTGTTCCTGCACATTTGCTAATGTTTAATATGTGCTTGACAAATAAGACATACCTTTCTTCTTTTTCAAGGTGGATTTACTATTAACAAGTGTCGTTACTTGATGAACTAAGGGCTCAAGAGTCTTTTCAACTGACATTGTGCGAATTTCGAGATTTTTTGGATCCCTATACATTAAAAGAACTGTAAAATCCATTAAATTCTCATTAAATAAGTACTAAATTACCATCGGGCAGCAATTGACCCCATTAATGGATTATTTTCAACCATGATTAATGCTTAGAAAATTTTCTTCACGACAATGTAGGGCGTTCAAAATGTTTGATCAAATTATTCACTAAAATTGAGTATTCCAAATGTCACATTTATCTTATATCCACACTATTGGTTGTAAATGTAACGACTTTTATTGTTCTATGGATTAATTTCGACGTTTAGGATGTGAAAAATTGAAAATAATTTTTAGAGTATTCAAGATGGATTCAAATGAACTTTTTGTCTTTGTTGTTGTAAATAAATTCGTCTGTTAAGGAATAGTCAGCTATGATGCATAGAAATTGACTGTGAGTGCCATCTAGTGGAAAGCACATGAATTTTTCGTTATTTCAAATAAGATCCAGTTAGCTGTATCTTTATAATTGATCTAAATTTAGAGCATTAAAACATCCAGGCATGCTTACAACACATCATTAAATAGCTTTATTCAAATTTAAAATACTATAAGTTTGAGAAATTTATTTAAAATTTCCTCGATAAGCCACCGCTACTCGTAGTTCCTAGCATTTATGTTTTGAGGAAGTACACCAACGTAATATGGCAGGTTGAACACATGTTGCTTTCTTATGTGCTGTCTAAATACATTGTAGGTACAGACTTTCCCACAAAATGGACATACTAGCTTCTCTTCGTTGTGAGTTTTTACGTGCTGATTAAGGAGCTTGTTCGTATCGCAGATTTTAAAGCACGTCAAGCAAATGTGACAGGCTGTGATGTGTTTGAGAAGAAAATCTGAATTAACGAAGCCTTTAACACAATATGTGCATGAGTATATTGCTGAATCTGAGGAATTTTCAAGCCATTTATCGAGATTATAATTTCCATCGCCAATATTTTTGATAGATCCGTTGTCTATGTGGATATTAGCTATAGTCTGCTCACTTTCGTTCTTATATACTAAGGAATAACTAGTTACACTAAATGATTCTGTAAAATCTGCACTTGATGACAATTTTGGTTTCTTTCTGGCTGGCTCGGATTTCTTTTCTGGACTGACTGAATGTTTCTTCTCTTCCTTAATATCTGGAACTACAATTTCCTCGTCTGAATAGACTGGATCCATTATATCTTCATTAATATTATTATCACTCATTAGATCATCCTGTGCATCAGCAATCGCAGTCAATTCGTCAATCTTTTGTACTTCCTGCATCTCAATTTTCCGTACACTTTGGATCTTTATCTTCATTTTCTTTTGTGGTGGTCCTTCAGTCTTTAACTTTTGTTCAGCTTCTCTTACTTGTAGCATAAATTTGTAGGAATTGAATAATGCGTCACAGCAAGTTATGCAAACCATGTCTGAGTATTCATCAGGTCCGTAAAGCTGAAAAAATCAGGGTAATTCCATGAGTGAAAAAATGGAAGTAAAATTCTTTTTGATCAAAATACTCTTAAAATAACACCTTTTTCCGTTCTTTTAAAAATTTATAATTAGTAGGGTAACTCAAGATATTCATTTTAAAATAGGTAACTAAACGTTTAAAGGTCTATTCACTGAACAAGTGTATCGGGTAGAAACCCAATGCGGATATATTCACACCGTACCATCAAAAGTCTTATGGATAGACCAAGATTTGCTCAGCATAAGTTTGAAGGGTGGGCGTGAAGTAAGGCCGAGACCCATATCGACACAGTTCAAAAGTTATACCCAATTTATGTTATAATTATGTCAGCTACCAAAACACTTAGTTTGAAGTTTGTCACCCTCGGGAACACTATGAACCAGTATAGCTGATTTTGGTCCAAATCTTGGCCATACTTCACACTTATTTGAACCACATTTTCTCGTAAATGTTAAAATATTATTAAAAAGTAAGTCAGATGGGTTAGTCGAAATTTTAGATTTCGATTTTTTTAATGTCAGAATGTTTTTATGTCAGAATTATGTCAATTCAAATAAAACATCCAAAAAATTTTTTTGAACAAAGTACACCATAGAAAATCAATTTTCAATTTTGGACTAGGGGCGACCCTAGTCAAAATCAATTTTGTCATTTTTTTTCTTCGAGGGTTTATCCAAATGGATTGAAACTTTGCATAAATATTCTAGTACTTAAAACAAATACAAATAAAATATCCTAAAATTTGACTTTTTTAGTATACTAATATTTACACAAAACAGTTTTAAATATCAAAAGCAAGAAATTTATTCTATATGTCGTCACACCCAAATTTTATAAATTTGGTTGTACATTCAAAAACAACGTGACTTAAAATTTTGCCCAAAAAAATGATTTTTATTAATTCAGAAATGTGTAACCTGAGGATTAGAATGCTCATACAAAGTTTTACTGTATTTGGATTTATCCTCGAAGGGAAACAAGTGAAAAACGAGATTTTGACTGGACCTGTCCCAAGTTCATAATTGAAAATGTATTTCCTACTTGGTTCTTTGTTCAAAAAAAAAAAAATTAAGATGTTTTATTTGTATTTGTTTTAAGCACTAGAATATTTATGCAAAGTTTCAATCCATTTGGATAAACCCTCGAAGAAAAAAGTGACAAAATTGATTTTGAATAGGGTCGCCCCTAGTCTAAAATTGAAAATGTATTTCCTACTTGGTTCTTTGCTCAAAAAAATTTTAGGATGTTTTATTTGTATTTGTTTTAAGAATTAGAATATTTATGCAAAGTTTCAATCCATTTGAATAAACCCTCGAAGAAAAAAGTGACCAAATTGATTTTGACTAGGGTCGCCCCTAGTCCAAAATAGAAAATGTATTTCCTACTTGGTTCTTTGCTCAAAAAATTTTAAGATGTTTTATTTGTATTTGTTTTAAGCACTAGAATATTTACGCAAAGTTTCAATCCATTTGGATAAACCTTCGAAGAAAAAAGTGACAAAATTGATTTTGACTAGGGTCGCCCCTAGTCTAAAATTGAAAATGTATTTGCTACTTGGTTCTTTGTTCAAAAAAATTTTAAGATGTTTTATTTGTATTTGTTTTAAGCACTAGAGTATTTATGCAAAATTTCAATCCTTTTGGATAATTCCTCGAAAAAAAAAATGAAAAACTAGATTTTGACTAGGGTCGCCCCTAGTCCAAAATTGAAAATGTATTTCCTACTTGGTTCTTTGCTCAAAAAATTTTTGGATGTTTTATTTGTATTTGTTTTAAGCACTAGAATATTTATGCAAAGTTTCAATCCATTTGGATAAACCCTCGAAGAAAAAAGTGACAAAATTGATTTTGAATAGGGTCGCCCCTAGTCCAAAATTGAAAATGTATTTCCTACTTGGTTCTTTGCTTAAAAAAATTTTAGGATAATTATTTGTATTTGTTTTAAGTACTGGAATATTTATGCAAAGTTTCAATCCATTTGGATAAACCCTCGAAGAAAAAAGTGACAAAATTGATTTTGACTAGGGTCGCCCCTAGTCCAAAATTGAAAATGTATTTCCTACTTGGTTCTTTGCACAAAAAAATTTTTTTCATCGAAAGTTTAATTTAAAAAAAAAATCACAGTGAACTTTTAATTTGAAAAATTCGTAAGAAAGGAAAGTTTTTTGCTTTTTCTGAAGCAACGGCTGTTCCTACCTTGTTCCTATCGTTAATCGGTTAAGTTTGCGAAAATTTAGCTTCTTATAAATATCCTTAAAAAGTCTTCAAATAACCGTTTTTTGTGCTTAAGTATATTTTAAGCCATAAATATTCACTTTCTACTTATTTGTACACTTTTTCTGATCTTAAATGCTTTATTCACAGAGAAAATTAAAAAATACTGCGTTAATCGGTTAAGTTTTCAGCGCTTTATCCAAAACCAACAAAAAAAAAGAAAATTTGAATTTTGAATTTCCTTTAATTTATATATTGCTAAGAATAATTTCTCTTCGAAAAATAACATTTTATTGGGTTAATAATGAATTTAATTTGTTTTTTTTTTTCATGTTAACATCATAATTTTGTGTAATAATAATCAAGGCAATGAAAATTAGTTTGAATCTTTTGAAAATTTGTAGAGGTAAAAAAAATTCAAATTACTACAAGTAGAAAAATATTACAACTTGCTTTTTCTCAGTTCCCTTTACTCGTGGAATTGCCCATCAATACTTTTTGTAAAAGATCCAGTGACATGAAAATTTAAAGAACGTAAGCTTTGTCGTAAGCAATAAAGGGTTGATTTATGGAATCAAACATCCAGACAAGTCTACATCCCTAAGTATATAAAGTTGTCAACAAAACTTACCTTCTCAAAAATAAAATTATTAAGTACGATGTAAATCTTCATATTTCTGTTGTCAACGACGAGTTCATCTTGAAATATATTGTAATGCGCATCATCTGCACATATCCTGCAAGCTGATTCCTCTTCACTAGTCATTTTAATGCGACTTTTGAATACTTTTAAATATTTCGAGAAAATTAGTAAACAAAAACAGTGCAACCTGATCGAATATCGTAACCTCTGTATTTCAACAATTTTACAAAATTCAAATTCGAATTCACCATGCTATCTTATTTTCTAGGGTATCTTGTTTGCTGTAAATGAATATGAAAAGAGACTAATCGATTAGAAATTTGGTGCCAAAATATCGAGTTGATAAATCGAAAACTTTCTTCAGAAATCATCCTTGACGCACTGTCTTTTCGTGATGACTTCGAGCTCTGGATTAGAACCTTACGTTTCATGCAAAACATTTATATATCTCCAATAGCTCGCTCACAACTCGCTCAAAACACATTCATTTCACAAAGAGAATCATTAGCAATTCCACCTAAACTCGAACAATAAATAAAATCGAAAACTGCGTTCAAATTTTTTCCTGTAAATTTCATTGAATGCTCCTCAGCTGTTCAGTATATATGCAGAAATCATATCAAAATCATCACACAAAGTGAACTGTTGAAGAATAAAGAGTGAATTTTGTGAAGAATATTGTGAAATATTTGTTAAAATTTTAAAAACAATAAACAGCAGTTGGGAAAGTAAACAAAGAAGAGTCTAAACAACAAAAAAATAAATAAAGCATAAAGCAACAAGAGAAAAAATTTTGTCTCAATATTTTGTCAATAAAAAAATCAAAAATGTCCCATTCTCAACCTCAAACACCTCCACTTATGTTAAGATCGTGTGACTCATTAGGACTTTTGGCAGGTAAGAGGATGTCTATCGTAGTTAAAAAATAAAAAATCTACGTAGTAAAAAAATGGAAAAAATTCATTAGAAATGAAAATTATGATACGGCGCAATACGTAGTCTCGCTGGTTACTTTGCATATGTATTGACTAGAGTGACTCGTACGTGATTTTTGCTGTATTTTATTAAAAGCATTTATATGCTAAATTAACAACTGATGATACTTAGTGTTACCTACCGTTCTTCATACCACGTACATTTTCGAATTTTTGTGGATTTTAATTTAGAGAATAATTGAGTACGGTCGGCACTTAGTCTGAGTGTCTTTTTGTCTACCAAATAGCTAGTAAAATGAGCCAATCTAATCATTTTTGACAGTTAAAATTCAAATATTTTTTGACTGTTGTTTTTTAAAATCTATTTAACCGTTATTTTCTAAAACTCTTTATTCAATTCCAAAATTCTGGACCTAGCTGCTTAATTGCTACTGTGTAGCCACGTCCTTATAAGTTTTTTCATTTTTGTACACGATCAAAACCGATGCATTAGAGTGCGAACAATGAGAAACAAAGAAAAATGCTCCACTTATCGAGAAGAAAATGTGCAGTAACTGCTGACTGCACAAAGAAGTGCAATTTTTTCACCTTTATTTACTCAATTACTAGACCTATCGATTCGCAAAGATACATGATGAAATATGAGGTCAAATTTACTCAGAGAATTAATGCCTTTTGGATATGGAAATGAGGTTTATTTTTGTTTGGGCATTTAATTTTGTGTTTATAAACACATTTTGTGTTTAATAAACATTCTTGGTGTATTACATGCTAAATTGAGCTCAGAACGCTAGCATATCACATGAGATTTACGTGACAAAATTTATGAGATTGAAATGCTGTTATCAAGGAATTTATTAATCAATCTGAAGTTTCTAGAATGACGTGATGATTAATAAATTAAGTTTTTAGGGGTTAAGGTCCTCGGGATCGAAATCTAACCTAAAAATCCTCTTTCGTTGAACCACAAAGTACCGCAAAGATCAATCAAATCTACGCCTTAACACTCACGTCTACATCTTTATTATTATCTTTTTGCCCCCTTTTTGCATGCACTGTTTCAACAAATGTGCGAATCATCAGCATTTATCAGTATATTGAATTTTTGAACTGTTCGATTCCTTTCCCATTACTGTCATTAAAAAATAAATATGTGAAATACAAAGAACTCATTTATAAGGAACAACAGACTCCTAAGTGATAATAATGATTGATAGTCCATTTGCAGTAAATTCAGTTCAAACTAGATTCGAGAAAGTAAATATAAAAAAAAATTCTGATGTCATTAAGTTCCCCTTTTTTTGAACTTTACGTGAGATGAGTAAACATGACTTGATTATTTTTTGGACAATTTTTGTTTCCTGTGTTTGATGGGTTTTTTTTCTGTGTGTTGATAATTGAAAGCGGCGATGAAAATAACTTTATTGAAACAAATTGCGAAATTAAAGGGAAAGGGGGACAAGAATTAGATCAGATTGGGGGAGTATTTGGGGTCATTAAATCGTGTCGGCAATTATTCAGATTCATTGGCAAGCAAAGATTTCTAAAATATTCTAATCTGCTATGGAATAATTCAATAAATTATACCAGTTGCTGGTTCTTTAGCTACAAAAAGCAATCCTAGTCTAGTGTTCATAAAGCCCTAGAATTCAGCACAATACCCACTTAAGAAAGGATTATCATCTGCTCCAAATTTAACAATACTCTAAAATATTATATTCCTTGATGGATGTCTTTAAAAATTTCTGCGACTTCTTTTTAATCTACAAATGATTCATACTAAGAAAAACAAACTCATAAAAACAGTCATGCTAATGCAGTTTGCATTTTAAAAATTCATTTCAAACTTTTCTTCTTTTATACTAAAATAAAATGAAATTTAAAAGTCATAAAATTTTATTTCATCTTAAATTCACGAAGAAAGGAAGTTACTGTCTTAGAATAAGTTCATTTTACAGTTTGAAGAAGTTTTGAATGAGATGATTGTAATAATAAAACTTTTATGTGACGAGAATAGTTCATGGTATTTATGGAAGGTATAAATGGGAAGTTTTTAAACTTCCAGCAACTTAGTAGCTAGTCAACATATTACAAAACCTTTTTCTAATCAAAAAAAGCGTGTCTCTAAGGAGTGGTGATTGATTGCTATCTCTTTCCCGCCTTTCAACGACAGCATTTTATTTTGATATCTATGAGCTGTTATCATAGCCTATCAGTATTATTCATTATTTTGACCTACAAAATTACTCTTAATTCCCCTCAATAAAAACAAACTACAACAAAAATTCCAAAAATGCAGCTTTTACAACCCCTGATAAAAAATATTACTCATTGTTGATAAACCAAGCCATAAAGCTTCTGCACAGCTTGTACAAACATCCATTAAAATTGCACGTTTGTCGTATAATCTTACCTTTATAGAAATAGCTAGAATAGCACTTTATTGAGTTATCAAGTGTAGTCATAAGAGATCGTTGTTTCGTGCTTTAGATACAGAAAGACTTGTTGATTCCTTTTTCGGATTCTTGAAATTGTTGTGACAATTTTAGTTATTTTACGATTGGGCTCATTAAAATTCATGAGATTATTTCGATGTATTGATTTTGAATTGGAATATTGAGGATTTAGATTTGGTAAGCTTTTTGTTGTTTCTTCAACTAATTAAAGCTACTAAGTACGCAATATCTAAGTTTTGCAATATAAACATTATAATTACTCACTTGATTGATTTGTTTACAGCTTTCGAAACCTTTTTATCAACTTTCAAATCTTCATAGATTATCTCAATTCAATAGCTTTTATGAGCTTAGGAAAATCTTCAGATAGACAATTGAGAAGCTGATATAGCCGGTTTATGTAACATTAAACCCTTCATAATCGTATTAAGTTGTTTACAAAACAAATAAAAAATATAAATTTACATTCGAGATTGTGTTTATGTAAAATGAGAATTTGAATTAGAAATGACGTCGAATTTGTTTTGCATTCATGAATTAATAAAAAAGCAATTTTGAGTGTAATGCAATTAGATGGGAATGTACTATTAAATCTGATTGGAACGTAATTGAAGGGCTAGAGTGGTGGCTGGATGTTGATTTTGACAAAAATGCGATTGAAGTAATTGAATCTTAACCAATGATTGAGTTAACGATAAAGAGCAATCTGGAAGAAATCTAAAGTCTCTAGTGGACAGCATCAATCTATTTAGTAAGTCATCCTTCTTATGTAAACTCAATATTCGAAATTATGCAAATTCAACTAGGTTCGTCCTTCCAAGAATTCAATAATCCTAATTATTTTTAATTAGGGTCAAACAAGCAGACTCTACCCATCTGTACATCCTCTTAATCTCATTAAGTTCAATGTGTCCAATGATGTAAAAACACCATCTGGATGAAATGTAAAGCCCGTAAGGATTTATTAGAAACGTCTCTATTGAATACTGACTTCTCACATCACAACAAAAGCTTCGGAACGTGTTTATTTATGGAACATAAACAATAGTTCAATAAGGAAGAAACTCAATAAATTTGTTTTACAATGCGACTCTATGGATTGAAACTCCTAGTCGTAAAAAAAATCAATAAATAACTAAAGTCATTTGTGACATAATAAGTTTACATTGATCGAATGATTTTCGTTTACATTTTATAATTATTTGCTAGTCTTGATGATGTTTGATGATTGATAAGATCGAGAAGCATTTAATTAGATTCTGTTTTGTTGCTGATTGGAATTTTGATTGTTTTTTGTTGATTTTAAAGTAAGTTGTTTGAGTATTAGGGACGAAGAGACTAGTTCGAACCTAGCCTTAATTTTATTTTTCAATCTACATAAGTGCAAAACCGTACGCAATAAATTTTGAAAATTGAAGATAAAATATATTCACAAAAATTGAAAATTTTGTGTGAATATGAAATTCCAAAGAAAATTCCGCTTTTAAAATGTGACAACAATTTTCTATAGTCATTGTCAGCCACAGGAAACTATACGAAGCTAGATAAAGATCGATTACATTGTAGAATTGTTTATCGGTTGTAGACTCAGTTCTTTATCATCGCGTCAGTTTGTTTATTGAAGATAAAAATGAGAGAAATTTCCTATTTTGTGTACACAAAGCTCAAAACAATGCCACGTCAGAATATTCTATCGTCGTTGTCATTATCACGTTTATTTTAAAAATTTGGGGCTTAGAATTTTGAGTAGTTTCTAGAAATATTGAAGAATTGATTTTTTTGAAATATTTAAAAAACTTCAATTTAATAATTTCCTTTAAAATCTACAAATAAGGTCAATAAATAATCTGAGTCACAAAATCATTTATTCCTTGTTCAATTTTATAAATAACAAAATTTTGTAATAGCTACAAAAAACCTCACAATCTGCCTCATCCGCAATTAAATGCAATCCTTTAAAATCTAGTGCACAAAAATTCAATTCCGACTTTTACAATTACAGCAATAAATTCCTCAGAATTTCCTCAAATAATCTCACTTTTATCTTTTGTTTTGACTGTCAATCTTTTTGTTTGCTGACTGATGAGCATTTACTTCTAAATATTAAAGTATTTACTTACAAAATGTCATAATGACAATAATTACATAAAATAAAAAAAGAGATTAAGTTCATTATCATATTTCAATTTTCTCCTTTGTTGCCAAAGAAGAATGAAAAGCTATTAAAATGTTTAACCCATTGCAGTCGCAATTGCATGGCAGATTAACACACATAAATTATTTTTATTAAAATAAATAAAAAGAGGTTGAGTGTTGACAAGACCGCTGATCGTAAAGCTTAAACAGAATGAACTGTGATAATATAATTAAAGCAGTTATTACTGCATACGTAATTGAAATGCTTTAAATCCTACGATACTGCAAATATTTTGAGTAGCTACAACGCAATTAAAATTGAATTAATAATGATTTTTTGCATGGGTTGGGATACAAGTTAATAAGAACATGACATTCATCGTGGTTTTGTTGAGATTTCAAAGTTTATAATTGTCAAGATTATAGATTAAATATGGAGCAATCAGTGCCGTAGTTTCAATTAAATTAAGCTCCTAAATCTCTAAAGAACCTTTAAGCACCTTCAAGTTTTCAAATCACAAAGAAAATGTCAAGAAACTCCCTTGCGATTAACACTTAATCCAACCTGTGCTAATTATCATTAATAAATCCGATTAATCCTTCATTGTTCCAGTCAAACCTTAATCGCACATAGGAATTGCCAACAAAAAGAAAACACAATTTCAAAAATGTTCTGCTTTTGATTTTAATTCCAACCGGCAAACACGATTTCTTTATTAATATTGCAAATGTTCACTCAAGCCGGACATGAATCATGCAATGAATGAGAATTAAAATTGAAAAACGCTCTGCATTCTTTGTCTTCTTCAAATTTTTTCCTGCATCGAGTTTTCGTGGCACACATTTTTGTTATTTTTAGAAGAGGATTAAAAAATTTACATCCAATAATCAGCTGTTCATTGTTTGCTTCTTCTTCAGTTCTAATGACACGTTCTATTGACAAATTCGTGAAAATAGTCTAAAGATACTTTTAGGATGTCAATATTGATTACTTGAGTTGTTTTCTGGTCAGAAGTAGATTGTTGGAAGTAAATTGTTTGTCTGGAAATAACGAGCAGTTCTAAGTGGTATGAAATTGATATAGCAAGGTCATACATTTGCTGCTGAATACTCTGTTTAGGAATTTATTGATTCTTGATTTCAAGTGATTGATTTTGCTTAGCTCTAGATAAATGTTGATGCTTTACTACAGTATCATTGAATCTCCTTTATGGATCAGAGAACTAAGCTTTTCCCTAAATAATGAATAAAACCTTTGCAATTGAATGCAGCATGAATCATAAAATTCAAAAATCATTATTCTATAAACATCAAATTTTGCAACACATTTGTTATCGACATCGTCAGACATCTGCAAACAACACAAAGAACCAGTCTAGCCTTCGAATTCTAAAATTAATTGCTCAGAAAATTTTTTACTTCAAAAGAACGGATGAAAAAATTGTTCGTGCTCATATCCAAAGTCAGCACTCAATGTTCTTTATGTACTAAGCATTGGAGTTACGTGAAGGTTTGCGCGTAGAATAGTAGCGAAATATCTAAGTTTTTATATTAGCAATACTTTAATTAGTCATTACAAAGAAGCTAGAGTTTTGAATGAGAAGCCAAAGCAATTGTTTAAGATGGATTAGGAGATGAACAATCTTTTTCCAAGCGAATATTTTAAAACTACGCATTGAAAATTGTTAGGTGAAACAAAATTGAATGATTTTTAAACTGAACTGGCCAGATTTTGGAACACTTAAACGAGGAAGTCAATGAATACAACACCTCCTCACGCAACTTTTAAATCTAGGACAACAAAAGTGAATGACCAGAAAATTCCAGTCAATTCAATTTTCCATCAATAACAAGTCAAAATTTCCCAACTCTTTCTTCTTCATGTTTTTTTACCACATCACTTAATTTCAATTTAGAAATAGAATTTTTGATTTATTGCTTTCTAAACGTTTTAAATTGAAAACTTGAAGTGGCATCAGTAAGAAGACATGAAACAAATTGCTTTAAAATTACTTGATACTAGAGCAAATTGATGAATCTGTTTCCATTTTTTTTTTTGTTTATTGAATTTTAGAGCTAGAAATAAACACAAGAAAGAATGTTAAGAACCTAGTCGAAAAATGTAAGGAGCTTAGATTTGCGTAATGAAAGTTAATGTCGATTAGATACAGACGCAGTGGAATTAATATACAATTGTGAACTTCAAAGCTAAAGTTCAATGATTTTGAAGCTTTAATGAACTTCTTAATTAGTTTAGAAGATTTAAAACACGTCAATAGTCTAATTTTTTCAAAAATCCAATTAAGCCATTTGCCACAAGAGTGTAAATTTACTTAAATTTGATAAAAAATTAAGTAAATGAACTAACCTAGTAACATTAAAAGAATGAAAACCAAATATTAGAACACCTTATCAGCGATAATTTGTTCTTCCAAAAAAGCAATTCCGAGTTTATTGATTAACACAATCAGAATTCAACTTAACATTTCTATTGACTAGGGTTACCATCTAATTTTCATGAAAATACAGGACTTTTGGTAAATTTTTTCGAAAAATACAGGACATAGAGTAAAATTCGAAAATTAACGGAAATTTTCGTGAAAAAAATACAGGACCTGGAACAAAGTTTTCAAATTTATAAAGGACAGGGTTTTGAAATACAGGACTGTCCGTTGTAAAACTACGCAGATGGTCACCCTACTATTGGCTCTTATTATCATCTTATTAGCTTATATACTTTGTTTAAACGATAAGTTTTGCACAACAATAAGATTTGCCGTCTTTACTTCACACCTGAGAGAGATTTTGACGGAAGCACGGAAGATAGTGCCTTGACATTCTTTTAAACAATACGACATTAGTATTTCTGGGTGTTGTCCATTTATTTTTATCTAAGATGCTATTTATATAAAGCTTGATACATTGATTTGAGTTATATTTGATGCTTTTTAAGAATTCTGATCTCTTGGTTTCTATGACATGTAGTTGGGTGTTCTATAATTTTCGATACGTCCTTGTTCTGTCGATTAAGTAGATCTGCAAAAATAATTTTTTATAAATTTAATCTGATTTAAAAACCATATGTAGACAATATCACTAAACTGCTCAGCAGCATCTGGATCTACATCCATTTTTGGCATCACTCAAACATCAACTTTATTTTCCCATATTCTACAATCTTCCGCAAAGCAGTTTAATTCTTTTCCTAGAAATCAACATCATTGTTGCTTCATTCTATTGCGTTTTTAAATCTCTCGGCTCTAATCAGTGTTCACTATTTGCAGTCATCAGTTTACATTCTAAATCAATTCACACATTTCCAACTTTTACGTTTCAATTAACACAACTAAATTAATGTCATTCATACCAGAAATAAATATCATATTAATACTGCTGCGTAGATGGAAAATCACACCATATAAAGTACAGAGAGTTGAATAATAATGTATTGTATGGTTGATGAATTTTGATTGCTAGTTGGATGCAAGGGATGTGGTTAGTTGAGGCTTAGACTATAATTGTAGATATTCTTCTTAAATAAGATCATGATTTGGATCTAAATCTAGTTTATAAAGCACATCATGAAAATTTGTCTGAACTACAAACTTCGATCATATTAAATTAAATGTTTGTGGTTTCTGTCTAGAAAATCAAGGACCAGAAACTACAAAGCTGCTCCATCCCTGCCTAAACATATCAAATTACAATATATTCGTTCTCAATTCTTAAAACTTAAATTCCCACAACTTCTATTTCATTTCAGAATCATGGGTGGAACTAACAAATAACTTAATTCAAAGCTGCTCAGATCGCGTAACACCACCACTTCCATTTTCATCAGGTGATGAGTACTTGAGACTGTTAAACGAAGCACAAAAGGAATCTAATCAATCGAGTCGAATGAGTTCACGGCGTGATACACCGAAAATTTTTAGTCCAAAAAGTCCACCAAACAGTCCAAATCCAGAGCCAGCAACAAATGAAGATGAATTGAAGGGCATTTTTATAAACTATGCAGCCAAGGTGAGTTGTGAGCAATGCACTCTAATTTTCATTGATTTATTTTTTGTCGTTAGTCGTGCGCGTTGTGTGGGAGTGAATGTGTCAATGAACTTGAGCTTGTAGAGAAATAAAGAAAATAAATAATCCAGTCTACATCGGATGAGATTTGCTTTTTCATTATCAACAATTTCGTCGCAATTTCTTTTCTGCTTCCGATATTTTTTTTGACTCACGGATGATGAAAAAATATTGACATTCGGCATGTCATCATCGCTGTGTAAATAATTCATGTTAAGTTGCTTCTCATCTCAGTTGCGATGTTTTAAACTGAAACACAATTTTTTTGCATGAAATATTTTTCTTTTGCGTTTTTAAGTTGTTTTAGTGATAAACTTGAGATATTTTACTGCTGATTAAGATTTTTGGCGTGTGGTTGGAGTGAATCAGAAGCTGATAAGAGTTAAATTTCTGTGAATGAATCTAGTCGGTTTGCTTATTTGTTATTTTTTGATAAGCAGAATGAACTCTAGTGACTCCTAGTTGAAATGACACAAAAATCAAAATGTTCTTAATGTTAGAAGAAAATGCGCTTTATGCACATCAAATTTTTTTTTGAATTTTTCTTTCTTCTTCGCACATTCACTGGAAATAAAATTCCTCGCATTTTTGTCCGCTATCATCATTTCCATTTCCATTTCTATTTTTATAAAAACTCAAAGCACATTTAAAGCCTCAAAACAAAAACAAACCATTTTTTTTGCTGTCTAGGTCACTGTTGCAAAATATTCTATTATTATTATCAGAGAGACTTGTCATCGTGACGTTAAAAGTAATATTTTTTTATGCCTGATAATTTGTAATTAGCTTTCATGCGCTGACACGTTTTATTTTTAAAAGAAATTGCGAATTTATTATTTTTCACTTGTATTGTTGATAATTTTTTAACATTGCGTCGAGTATCTATCAAGTATGATATAGATAACGGAGAGCGTGTGGGAGGAAGTGAAAAAGCTTCAATTAAAAACAATGAAACACGTCTATTTTGAAGATGTGAATTGTGAGAGTTTTATAGGCTGATTATAAATTAATTAAATAAAGTTTTATTTTCGTGGCAATATAACGTCGTAATTTGCATGTTTATTGTGGGTTTTGTGGATTAATGAAGGTAGTTTAATTTGATGATGGGCAATTTATTTTATTGAATTGTCGATGAGCTTATTCAAGTTATACGACGTGCATGGATGCAAGTAATGGGTTAATCCTTTTCGAAGAGATATTGTCAAGACCGACTTGAATTGTGACTCATAAGATCCACCCCAAATTTTAAAAAATCCTTGAATTTATACATCTTTTATCCCTTCTAGGAGCAAGAAAAGGAGAAGGATGACAAAGACTGGCTTTGGCAATGGAACAGTGGAGTTGACAAATTTCCACCAAAGTAAGTGACTAAGAATAAGCAAAATCAACACCTTTTATTCTAATAAGCATTTAAACACACAAAGCCATCCACATAACATATCATAGCTATCAATCATGCCAGAACTAAACAATTTTCCATGCAATGTTAAGCATGTAAATTAACAATTTATGGCAATTAAGATGTAAATGACCTCAAAACTAGTTTAAATTAATTAATTTTCTTAAAAATAACAGAGACTGGAAATTTGAACATCCCGAACACAGTCACTCGAATGTTTCATCGCCAATTCCGCCATCAATAATGAAGGATAATCGTTCAATGACTTACTCAATGCGTCTTGCACGTGTCGGTGGAAATTCACTCTTCTCAAAGGAAGTCCTTTATTCGCTTGTCATCACAAATGTTCTGTCCATATTAATTGGCGCTGGAATTGGGTAAATTGATGCTATAAATTTTAATATAATTATTTTTATATTAATGTAAATTTTTCTCGCATTTTGTTTATTTTTAGCGTCTGGCTATCGAAACGCGGTTTCATCTTTACTCGTTTGGCAATTGAGTAAATTTGATAAATGACGAAACAGGATTTAAAACTTTTTTATACACACATAAATAATTTTTTAAATTAAATTAAAACAAACAGATTTTCAAAATCATTTTTTTTATCTTAAAAAGAAGTATGAAAATTTTACGAGAATAATATTCTAAGGGATTCGGAACTTTTTGGTCATGTAGGTTGGTTTTGATCAATTTGTGTCGAGTTTGATAATTTTTGGTTGAAATTGACGTTTTTGGGTCACATCTTTTAAAGAATTTCTGAATTTAAATTTAAATTTTTTGAAGAAATTTAAGTTATAGAATTGTGTCAAAATTAATATTTTTTGAAATATCAAAAATTCTCAATAATAATTTTTACTCAATATTGCGTCATGACCAAAAAGTTTTGATTCGCAAAATAGAAAATAAAATTAAGAAACAACTAGAGAATAAGTTTATATAAATTTATGTGACGATAAAAAAAATTAAATGAGGATAATTGGAAAATTTCAACGATTTCTGATAATTGCCAGCAATTAAGAATTCGAAATTCTGTAAATCAACAGGTAGTCAACACTGCTTTTGGGTATCAATTTCTGTTTATTTCTTTTTAAAGAATCTAAATCAACTCAACAAACATTTGAAGATATTTAAATTTGATTTCTCTAAGAAACTTCAAAGAAAAATTTCAAAAATCTTCAAACTTTGATATCTTATCGACATCCGAATCAATTGCTGTACTGATATACAAAACTCATAGTATCAGATTTCAGATTCAATTCAGGAATTTTTCTCCCGCGTGACTTTATTCGAAAATGTTTTGAATTTCAAACTTTTTTTTGCAAAAAAATTAAGAAACTTCAGACACAGATTGACATGTGAGAAAATCGAATGAACATTTTGTGATTATATTTCAAGCAAAGCTGAAACTTGAGATTTTTAAATCATAAATGACTTAATCAAATTATGATAACTAGAAAATTTTATCGATAAATTATTTTGTATTTCATATTCAATCAGTTTTTGAAATTTGCATTTCTTTTTAAATTTTGTAGATTCATAGACTTTTTATCAGAAGTTCTAGCTTAGTGTCTATAATAGTAAATAATTATCTCTTGTCTTGCAAACAGGATTGTATTCAGGAACGTTTAAGCTAAGGTGGTAAGTTGATTCAAATGTTAGTCAAAAATTCTGAAAATTTAAATTAAATTCTCCGTCAAAGTAAAAACTCTCCTAAAAACCCTGTTTGCAAATAATAACTCTATCAATAATAATCTTATTGCCAGAATACTAAAAAGAAAAATTATCAAAAGATTGAAAATGAAATGACTACAGAAAGAATCGTGATTTTTTATATAAGTTTAAATACCAATAATAATTATGAATTTAGAAATAAATGAAAACTTTTTTAAATACCAAAGTCTGAAAATGTTTGATAATTTCTTATAAAACATTCATTACTGATTGTCATTCATTAATTCATGTCATTTCATTTTCATCTTCAATAAGAGTTGACCCAATTTTCAAAAATAATGATTCATTCCAATTCAAATATCAAAATCCTAATTAGTGTCTGTAATTAAATAATTGTAGGTCAAAAACCTCAACTTATTCCAGTTACAATTCCTTTGTTCATAACCTACATCCTTCAATTCACACAACTGATTCTTCAATGTGTCAACTGTCATAAATTAACATTCATGTCATTGATAAATGCACGTTAATTAAGAACACATTAAGTGTATCAATAAACTTAACTGCATTACTTGATGACACTTTCATGACTCACAAATACTGTCGAATTAACAAGAGCACATAAATGTCTCAAAAAAGCGATTTGTGTACGAAAATAATTTATTCACTCTGTTAAAAATAAGAATTTCAATTATTTTCATCGCATTCAATGAAATTCAAGCAAGAGAAGAATTAAGTTCAAGGTCAGGCAAAAAATTACGTTTTCTGTTTACATTCTCGGCTTTCATTCATTCAATTTTGATTTCGTTTTTAATTGCTGTAAAAGAGAAATGCGGAGAAGTGACGTCAAAAACTTTTATTTTGCAATTTACGTCAGCAAATCGAACTGCGCTTCTAAGTTTTCTTATTTCTTGGTTGTGATTTATTTCAATTATTGTCAGCACATCAAAGTTTCGGTATTGGGACATTAAAATTGATGAAATGAAATATTAATTGAGATTAGTAGTAATTGCTTTATGTGTTTTTAATGAGATTGTCAAGTGATGATGAGTTATTAATAACTTTGATTATGGAATTTAATGACTGAAACTAATTTTTTTGTCCGACTCAGCACCAATCAGTCAGTTTTGGAATCAAAATAAGTTTTTGAAAAATAGTAAAATTTTGAATTTAATTCGGATAATAATTTTTTTTTATTTTCTTTGTTTATGAAAATTCTTTGAATAAATTTTCCGACGTCTGATTTTGAGTGGGACTTCAAAGGATTATATAAACAATATCTTATTTATTTTATGAAACAAATTTGTATCAAGTTTATTGTTGACTTTAAAAATAATGAAATAATGAATGGATTTATAAGGTTGAGGAAGTGTGATTGTTGGCAAAAGAATACTTCCTCATTTTTCACTTTACAAATTTTCCAATTATCCTCTTAAACTTTCTAATCATCACTTTCTATAAACATACAGAAAATAAATCAACAAACATTTTTTTAAAGAATGCTAGAATGAATAGTTGCGGGATCCAATGGATTCCATGATGAATGTGATATTTTATTTTTATTTCAACGCCAGGCATTGAATTGCAAAGATTTACACTTTTTATTATTTTATCACAAATTTTTATTTACTCTTTAATTTTATCTCAATTCTGCAGTTTTGTATTTTTTATAATTTTGTAAAACGAGATTAGAAAAATAAAAGATAAGTTTTACAATAATTTAAATCTTAAGATTTCCACCTTTTTTTTTTATTCGAGAAGTGTTTCATTCCGAAATTAGGCAACTCAAAATCTTTCAAAAATAAAATTTTTGAAAAAGTTTATAATTTTTTTTTCATTTTTAAGACAAATTGAACACAAAATTAGACAAAATTTATTAAAAATATTCTTGCCTTTTGGAATTTAAATATATTTGACAAAAATTAACTTTTTGATGTATTGTAATTGTCTGTTTTGGAAGAATTCTGAAAACTGAAAGCTACTTTTGTGCTTAAATCTTATCAAACGCTCATTAAACACATAAAACAAATGTAATTAACAAGAATTAAGATGATCTTATGAGGAACTGAATACAAAAGAAGTGAACAAGAAGTTTTGATACTATAATTTTCAAGTATGTAGCTCATTAGATTAGTCCAACAAAATTTTTTAACACTATTTATATAATTCGATCAAATGTGTATTCAATAAATATCAAACAATGAAAAATTACCGTTTTATTTTAAAGATTTTTGATCAAAACGTGATTACTTCTTCAACCTCGATTATTACATGATGTTTCAGGAATTAAACAAGAACTTTTGAATGTTTTGAGATTTTTTAAAATTATTACAATTAACTGAATTCATGCTTTCTTCCCACCAGATTACAACATTTAATTCTCAGCCGGTGAAATATTTTCTCACCAAGCTACTTACATCGACAGATTGTCTCCTCAATTTTGAGCTGATAATAATAATCACTGTAATTATAAAATAACATAAACAATTATCAGATCTGTGCCTTTCGTACTCAATAAAAGCAAACTCACTGAATTAATTTGAATTTATTAATAATTTTCTTATTGTGCTGTGAAGTAGCTAGAACTTGTCATGTGGCGCGTAACAATAATTCTAGTTTTAGTTTCCCTAACAATGGCTGTAGATAAATCAGTTATCATCATTGGATCTGGAATTAGTGGATATTCAGCAGCAAGTAGATTGATAGAAAATGGATTCGATGATGTAATAATTTTGGAGGCTGAGGATCGAATTGGAGGCAGAATCAACACAATTCCTTTCAGTGATGGATTTATTGACTTAGGTGCACAGTGGGTTCATGGACAAGTCAATAATATCATTTATGAAATGACTCATGAACATTTTGAATTTGGATCAACTCCATTTGTGGAAGTGCCATTTACATTTTTATTTTCCAATGGAACTAAAGCTGATCAAGAACTTTTTAGAACAATTTCAAAGATTAATTTTGATATATTTCTTGCACTTGATGAAACTGATACATTTACTGGATCTTTTGGAGAAATGTTCTTGGAAGTTCTAGGGGAAGTTACTATGAACGACAGTTTTCCAGTATTTAAAGATCTCGATCTGAAAATCATCGAAACAATGAAGGAAAACGCAGAGCGATTCATCAATGGATATTGTGCTTTAAAATCATGGTTTGATATGTCAGCAAAGTTAAGTGCTCAAGAGGATGAAGCTGGTGGTAACTTACATAATACTTGGAAGAAACAAGGGTTCAAAACTGTGTTTGACTTCATATCGGTGAGTTGATCTGAAAGCTAAGGCTTAATTTTATAATTTTAATTATATTTCCTCAGAAAAAGCTTCCAGATCCATCACAACACATCGACATAGACAGCAAAGTTCAATTAAACAAAAAGGTCACGAACATTAACTACAATGTAATCGATGCAAACAGTAAAGCTGTTATCACATGTGAGGACGGGTCATCTTACGAAGCAAAACATGTCATTTTCACACCGAGTCTGGGAGTTTTGAAAAAATATCATGAATCACTCTTTACACCTACATTACCTGAACAGAAAGTATTAGCAATCAAAACTTGGGGATTTGGAGCTGCTGGAAAAGTATTTTTGGAATTTGATGAGCCATTTTGGTCAGAAGAAGGAGAGCCTTTTGTAGCTTATGAATTTTTGTGGTTAGATGCCGACAAAGATGAAGCAAAAGCCTACAATCGCGAATGGATGTTAGGAATTTCCGCATTCTATATTGTTGACGAATTCCCAAACATGCTTGAAGCATACCTTGGTGGACCAAAAATTAATCAATTTGAAGCATCAAGTGATGAAAAGATTATTGAAGACTGCATGTGGGCTTTAGAGAAATTTCTTGGAAAGTCTTTACCTAAACCAAAAGCCATGACAAGAAGTAAATGGTTAAGTAATGAAAATTTCTTGGGATCTTATTCATATCCTTCGATGGATGCTGAGAGGGCAGGTGTAGGAATCAAGGAACTAGCAGAGTCAATCAATAATGATAATGGTGAACCTATTCTACTGTTTGCAGGAGAAGCTACTGATGAAAAGTATCCAGGAAACACTCATGCTGGAGTTCGTAGTGGTTTTAGAGCTGCGGATGAAATCATCAGTAGTTATCAATAGTACAAAATAAGAACTGATAATAATAATCACTGTAATTAAAATTTATAAAAACATTCATTTGTAGTTTGTGCTTAATAAAAGAGTTGATTTTAAATCATTAGTAATTTGCCTTTATTTCTGTGAAGTAGCTTAAGCTCGTCATGTGGCGCGTTACTTTAATATTTGCTTTTATTTCCTTAACAATGGCTGTGGATAAATCAGTCATCATCATTGGATCAGGCATCAGTGGATATTCAGCTGCAAGTAAGTTATTAGAAAATGGATTCAATGATGTCATCATTTTAGAAGCTGAGGATCGAATTGGAGGCAGAATCAACACAATTCCGTACGATGATGGATTTATAGATTTAGGTGCGCAGTGGGTTCATGGACAGCAAGGCAATATAATTTATGAAATGACCCATGAACATTTTGATTTTGGAACTACTCCTTTTGATGATATTCCATTTACTTTTCTTCTGTCTAATGGAACTAAACCAAATCAAGAGTTGATAAATGCAATTTCCAAATTATGCTTTGAAATCGACCATAAAATCTACACTGGTGATACCTTTACTGGATCTTTTGGTGACATGTTTATAGGCATTTATGATGGAATTGTTGCAAATGGAAGTTCTCCAGTGTTCAAAGATTTAGATCCAGTTATAGTTAAAATGATGAAAGAAACATCTGAAAGAAATATCAATGGATATGCTGCTATAAAGTCATGGTTTGATTTATCAGCGAAACTATGTGCTAGAGAAGAATTAGCTCAAGGGAGTCAACATAACACATGGAGAAGGAAAGGATTCAAAACTGTATTTGACTTCATATCGGTAATTGATTTCATAAGTTAAGGCTCAGTTTTATAATTTTAATTATATTTCCACAGAAAAAGCTTCCAGATCCATCACAACACATCGACATAGAAAGCAAAGTTCAATTAAATAAGAAGGTCACGAACATCAAGTATAATATTAACGATGTAAACAATAAAGCTGTTATCACATGTGCTGATGGGTCAGCTTACGAAGCAAAACATGTCATTTTCACACCGAGTCTGGGAGTTTTGAAAAAATATCATGAATCACTCTTTACACCTGCATTGCCTGAACAGAAGGTTCTTGCAATCAAACTTTATGGCTTTGGTGCTGCTGGGAAAATATTTTTGGAATTCGATGAGTCATTTTGGATAGAAGAAGGAGAGCCTTTTGTAGCTTATCAATTTTTGTGGTTAGATGCTGACAAAGAAGAAGTAAAAGCTGCAAATCGCGAATGGATGTTAGGAATTTCCGCATTCTATATGGTCGATGAATTCCCAAACATGCTTGAAGCATATCTTGGTGGACCGAATATTGAAGAGTTTGAAGCATCAAGTGATGAAAAGATTATTAATGACTGCATGTGGGCATTTGAAAAGTTTCTTGGAAAAACCTTACCAAGACCAAAAGCAATGATAAAGACAAACTGGCTTACAAATGAAAACTTTTTAGGAGCCTATTCATATCCTTCGATGGACGCAGAAAAAGCTGGCGTTGGAATTCAAGAACTAGCTGAGTCTATCAATAATAATGACGGTAAACCTATTCTGTTGTTTGCAGGATCAGCTATGGACGAAAAGTATCCAGGAAACACTCATGCTGGAGTTCGTACTGGATTCAGAGCTGCAGATGAAATAATTAGTATTTATCAATAGTACTAAAAAGATTTATAAGGAATAGTTCTCCTGAATGTTATGCAATTTTTTTGACATATTGTAGCATAAAAATAGAATGATCAGTAAATTATTGCTAATCAACTGCAGAATAAAGGTTACAAAATTTTTAAAATTTTATCAATTATCTTAAGTGATATGAAGGCAGTGTCCTGTGTTTTTTAGCATACTCATATTTACTCAGTATTAACAATGAGTAAGTTCTACATTCCTTTATGATTCATTGAAAAGTTATTCCCAAATTACATCTTAAAAATTTATTCCTTAAATATTTGCACAACTCAATTCCTAATTCCTATTTCCATCAAAATGGATGGTCTGCAAAAAATTCCTTAATTGTGACTAAATCACACCATTAAAATAAATTTATGATTTTTTTTTGTTCATCAGAAAATGTTTGGCCAGCCATATTTATCATAAAGTAGACGAAGCTTATTAGTTAATTATAATAACCAGTGGGCAAACAAAGAACGGAAATTCCACTGAAATTTTTATGTTGAAATTTAAAATAAAATATTATTTGAGCCTTTTTTGTCTTAAAGCTGTCATTAGGAGGTGAGATGAATTTTTGATGCGATTTTGAGTAATTTTTTGGGTGTTTAACAATTTGGTTGGCAAGCTCATTTGAGAATGGATATTATAATCTTTATCTGTAGGAGAATTTGTGGAACCCAAGAGCATTCAGTTTGGTCTGACTCCTTTTCCTGACTGAAAATTCTTAAATCAAATCAATGACAAATTGCAAGATCAACTCAAAGACATCAGAAATTAGAAGTATCCAAAACTTCCTTTACTGCCGCCTCGCAAGACATCAAAAAAGACTCTCCTTGCAAAAAGTCAATCACATTTGTCTTAAGACACAACATTTGTGACTCAAACCAAAAACCCATAATTGCTTTTATTCCATCAAATCGTAAATAAATTCACAGCACACAAAAACACAGAGTTAACATCAAAGAGAAACTTAGAGATTTATTGCTGAAAATTAATTTTAAGTGAAGTCATTAGCAAAGTCAGCCAATTAATCTCAACCAAAAAAAAAAGCCTTTAAATTAATTAATTGGTTTGTGGCTTAAAACACAGAAAATCCATCACGTGTTGAATGAATTTTATGAGAATAAATTTATGAAGATTCTTTCGGGAATTGCAGGTGTTTGCTATTGGTTTAGAAATTTTGACAATTCATAAATTAAAGAACTTAGCTCAACTTACTAGGAATCAAGAGTAACAATACAAAAATTGATAATTTACTCTCAAAGAATTTCATTTGATAAAATTAAATATGCGAAAATAAAAACATATTCAAGAACTGAATCCGGTTTAGCACAATAAATGCACTCAACAGCATTAAAAAATAAAATCCTAAAAAATTCTTCAGTACGTTTTAAGCAACAACAAGATTAAACTCAAATCAATTCTAAGGTTTCCGACACAGCACAAAAACAAAAGACAGAGAACAGTAACAAGCAAAACAAGCCACAACCGGAGGCTTATCTAAATTTAATGCGCCTTTTATTGCCCTCTCATCTCTTCTCGTCGCATTACCAACACTAAACATCCAAACATTGAATTAGACTCACTAAATGTGCATCATATTTGGCTATAAAAATCTCATTTCTATTTGTATTCATGTTCTGTTGCCTTCTTTTCTTTCTTTTTTACAATTTCATATCAGTTAAAATTGATTTTTTTTTGTTTCGTTCTTCTTGTTCTTTGCTGCAGGGTTGGGAATTTACTAATTTGATTAAATGTAGTCTGAAAGGTTTTCAGAGCTGATTTTGTGGGTTAAATCCTTCATCTACACTGGGAATTCAATTCAATGAGCTGTGGTTCTTTAAAATCTGCTATCCTTTCTGACTCTACAGGGTTTGCATCTATTTAGTAGTTTTACTAGTTTCTCGGTATGTTTTGCAGCCCATAACATGGTTTATAAGCATTAGTGCCAAAATAAACACAATTCTTGTACCAGGCATATAAATTAAATTGATACAATTCAACCTAAACTTCCTCTTACCAACCCTGCATCATATACCATCTCTTTATGGACGTATATTTAGGCATATTATGTCTTATATTTTATTTATACCCACAGATTTGTTTAATAGAAAATAAAGGAAAGAAGCATTTTATTAATGGATTTCCAATTGTGAGACATGAGCAAGACATGGTAAGAATGAAGAAGAGAAGAACAAAAAAAGTGAAGTGGCTGAGAATTATTGACTTTTTTGTAGCTCGATTTATTTCCAATAATGCACTTTTATCTTTCCACTTCATATTAATGATGTATCGAAGTGTAATTTGAATTTATTAGAATTTTATTGAGCTGGTTTGGAGGATTAGAGTAATAATGGAATTAAATGATTTGTTCTAATTTGTGGATTTGGATTTTTTGGGTGCAATCCTCATTAATAAGGTTCGTTATATCCATTAATTCATCTAACATCGTCCAAATTGCCAACAACTTCTTGTCATGTCATTCAAAATTCCTTTACAGACCCCATCAAATTCCACATTGCAATGACTATACAATAAATAATCGCATGATCAATTTTGCAGATGCTTAATACCACAAGGGACAACACTTCCTCCCAAAACTATATCGCACGATTACAGTGTCTAATATATCCACAACATTAAACTATTTATCCCAAAAAAGGTGCCAAAGAAGAGAACCGAAAACAACAACAGCAGAAATGAGAAGTCACGACGACTAAAAAAGTACAAGGGAATCAAAAGAGAAGAAAAATTGAATTCGAGAAGGAACATCAAAAAAAAGCACACAACGAAGATGATATGAAAAGAGAAATGAAGAAAGACACAGAAAACAAGAAGAACTTACCCGAGAGTTGAGCTCAGAAAGTGATTTTTTAACGAGCTGTTAGAGATACAACCAAAAAAAAAGAAATGAAAAGAAAAAATACAATATTTTATAAGCCAAAAAAGAAGTCTCTTCGGCGAGAATGCGTGTGAAAATTTTGTGTGTGGTCTGAAAAAATTCTTTCTCGTCTCTTTGCGCCTGTCTTCGCCTTCTATTTAACAGTTTAACAGTTTTAAATTAAAAATTAATGTGATTTTATTCTAGAGATGGAAGCAGTTTGGGTTGATTTGAACCCCAATTTTTGGGGCTATTTGGGATAGATTGAACATTTAGCATTTAAAATTTAAATTATAAATTTTTAATTTAATTTTAAAATTTTCGAAAAATTCAACTTTATTTTTTTTTTGAAAAATTCAACTTTATTTTTTTTGTTGAAAAATTCAACTTTAAAATTTTCAAAAAATTCAATTTTAAAATTTTTGAAAAATTTAATTTTGAAATTTTTGAAAAATTTAATTTTATTTTTTTTTTGGAAAAATTCAATTATAAAATTTTCAAAAAATTCAAATATAAAATTTTCGAAAAATTCAAATTCGAAACTTTCAAAAAATTCAAATTCAAAACTTTCAAAAAATTCAAATTATTAATTCTTTAAAAATCTAAAATTAACAGACCAAAGAATTTATAATCCAGATTACAAAGCCCTGCGATTTTATTAATCAGTTAAAGACTCATCTTTATGAGCCTTCTTCTCTTTTGACGATGATGATGATAATGACTATTAGAAAGAATCTGTTGAGACATCGACGGGGCACATTCTAAATATCTATCGATTATAATTTGTATACAGCAGGTAATGCTGTCATTTTCTTTGACCTTTTCTTTCCTCGATGGATGTAATAAAATAAAAATTTATGGTACAGAAAAAAAAGACTCAAGATTGCTGCTTCTTTTACGACTTTTCAACTTCTTCTTTCTTCGCCTTTTTCGCTTTGTTTTCTTTTTTCCATCTCATTTCTTTCTGCGGTTCCAGAAGAATTTATTTTATGCAAAAATATTCTCTCATCACATTCCATTCAGATCACATTTTTTGGATGACGAGGACAAAAAGGCAGCAAATTTGTGATCATTTAACACTATAAGATTGAGATTAATGTTGTGCTTATATGGAGACATTTTATTTTCATACAATATATATCTGTGGATATGAAGAAATATTCAAAAGACATCAATAGTTGAAGTGGATTGAAACCTGAATTATCCTGTTGATGTTAGCGCGATTTACTGGATTTTAATAATTATTTTTGAATTTTTTGGAAGCTTTAAAATTTAAATTCTATAAAATCGTTGTAATTTAATTCAAATCTGATCACATTTAACCTTTTAAACTTTCCCAAGTTTCTTGCAACTATCTAGAGAGTGTGCGATGTTTAAATATACATAATTTGTCTTTCTTTTTCCATCTACCGTGTACGTTGCTATCGTCATCATCAACTCTTTCCTTCTTCACTTTTTTTCTTCATTTCATTTTATTGATTTTAATTAATTGAGCGTTAAAGTTGAATACTTTTTTGTTGTTTTTGTTATTTTAGTTTGAATATTATTCACGGCTACGGTATTACCGTGGAATTTATTACAAATAAATAGCACGATGGAGAGAAAGAGATTGGATTCGGGTATGAGAAATAAGGTGAAATTCATGAGTTGTCGATTTTTGTTTTGGATTATTTTATTTTCAGGTTTTTGAGTTAATTGAATGTTGATCTGGATTCTTTTAAAAAGTATATTCAAATATTATTTTAGTTGAAAATATAATTTATTGTAAAAAATGATTTCTATTGATAATTTATCTCAAGTCAATTCATTGAGTTCGAATCTCAGAAATTCAAAAATAACGAAATTAAAGGAAGAGCTTTTCTGTTTTTATATTTTAAAATAATTTTGCATAAAAATCAAATCCTAAAATCATAAAGGAAACAAAAACAAACCTATAAATCTCGTTAACTTAATTTTATCATTTCCATTTCTTTTCCTGTTAAATATAATTTGCAACAAAACAACAAAAGAGCACTAAATAGCATTACCATAAAAATAGTAAACATCCTTTTGTAAAAACAACTTAAATTACATCCTCAAAAATATCAATTTTAGGTAAGAAGACGAA